CGGCAGGCAGAGGGCGCCGAACGGCCATCCTGAGTGAAGGCCGGCTGCAGGGACAGCTAGGGAGGCTCCCTGCCAGGAATCTAAGATCAATCACAGAACAAGACTGTGTGAGCAGGTGTCTGTGTCTGAGCCAGGGTGTGACTGTGGAGTGGGAACAGACAGCTGGACAGAGACTAAGGCTCAGCCTCTCACTTCTTGCCTCATTGCCACCCTGAGGCCAGCCCTGTCCTGGGGGATGAGAGCCACAACAAGGAAGTGGCCCCTTCAGGCCCTCGTGGAGCTGTTGGCCTGAGGCTAGAATAAAGAAATCACTGCTACTAACATGGATGGGATTGGAGGGCATGTGACAAGTGTGGAGAGAGGAGGAGGATGAAGACCGAACATAGTGACCTGGACATGGCTGAGGGCAGAGCAGGCTCAGGTGCCTAAAGAAAGCCCCTACCTCAGGGTGGCTGGGGAGGGCCACACAGAGAAGTGACACATAAGCTGAACCCTGCCTGAGGTGCCTTGTGTCCTACTAACATTCCCATCTTGTCCCCACAGTCCTGCAGAGAAGACGAGACAGAGCCCATTTTCTTGGCCAAGGAAAGGAGCAGCTACAAGTCTTCATGCTGGAAGCAGCCCCAGAGGTTGCATATCCTCAGACTCCAGGTCTTAGACACTGTGTGTACTACGGGGATGAAAAACTAGAGGAGGGGTGGGGCTGGAGTGATAGTACAGCGGGTAGGGCAAACGTGGGTAGGGCATTTGCCTTGCACGCAGCCGACCCAGATTCCCAGCATCCCATATGGTCTCTTGAGCACTACCAGGACTAATTCCTGAGTGCAAAGCCAGGAGAAACCCCCTACGCATCGCCAGGTATGACCCAAAAAGAAAAAGAGAGAGAGAGAAGGAGAGAGAGAGAGACAGAGAGAGAGAAGAAAAACTGGAGGAGAGGGGGCTGGGGCAACAGTCTAGCAGGAAGGAGCACTTGCCTTGCATGTGGCCGACCAGGCTTCAATCTTTCCTACCGCATATGCTCCATGTGTTTCCCTGAACACCTCAAGGATCCCTAACCAAAGAACAAGGAGTAATCCCTGAGCACAGCTGGGTATAACCCAAAAATACGAAGGAAAACTTCTAAAAAACTGGAGGATAGTCAAGCTAAGGAGGGGTCACCAAGTCCAGAAAGGAGACAGCTGCCACTCTGCATGCAGAGCAAGCTCTGATGGATCCAGCCACCAGACTCACCTGTGAGGCTTTCCGGGGAAGTGAGGTGACCCTCTGGGCTATCAACCCCACCTCTAACCTGAGCAGCAGTAAGCTTGATCTGATTGCTCCTTGAAGACTGACAGCCAAGCAGCATTTCTGCTCCTGTAACTAACTGCCGGGGGGCTGGGGGAGAGGGGGTCATCCTAAAAACCATCTCAAACCCATGAGACTAGAATATATCAAATACATCTATGACACAGGCAGAACAAAGGCATGACATAGACCTCAGAGGATTCTTCAGTGATTTGATTCCAATAGGGAAAACAATAACACTGTAGCACTGTCTTCCCATTGTTCATCGATTTGCTCAAGCGGGCACCAGTAATGTCTCACAACAAATTGCGAGACTTGTTGTTACTGTTTTTGGCATATCGAATACGTCACAGGGAGCTTGCGAGGCTTTGCCATGTGGGCAAGATACTCTCGGTAGCTTGCTGGGCTCTCGGAAAGGGGCGAAGGAATCGAACCCGGCTAGGCCGGGCTGGCTGCGCGCAAGGCAAACACCCTACCCACTGTGCTATCGCTCCTGCCCAGGGAAAATAACAGAAACAAAACTAAAGAGACGGGCTTACATCAAATTTAAAAGTGCATGGCAAAAGAAACTTAAAAGGCACACTTCTGAATGGGAGAAAATATTTGCACACAACGCCTCAGATAAAGGAATAATACCCAAGACACAGCTCAACAGCAATTAAGAAACGTCAACCCCATCAAAACATGGGGAGAGGACAGAAGCAAACGCTTCCTGGAAGAATACATTTGGGTAATCAGTAGGCAATGAAAAAAAGTGCTTATCATTTATCACCAGGGAAGTAACAATCAAATCACGTTGAGATATCATTGCACACAATGAAAATGACATATATGTGTGTGTGTGTGTGTATAAACACTGGAAATGGACCAGAGAGAATGCAGTGGTTAAGGTATTTGCCTTGCACATGCCAACCTGGGTTCAATGCCAACATTATTTATGTTGGCATAAATAATGAGCCTCTCCAGGAGTAATCCTGTGTACCAGTAAGCCCTGAAGCACTGCTAGGTGTGGCCAAAACAAAAAAAAAAAAGAAAAAGAAAAAAGCTATCAAAAATGCGTAGGTGGGAGTGGAGGGAGAAAGGAACCCAAGTCCACTGGTGGTGGGAATGTCATCTGGTTCAGTGTCTATGGAAAACAGTACAGAGTTTCCTGCAGAAAGTAGGGATGGAGCTCCCAAAAGACACTCTGATTGCAATTCTTGGCATCTACCCACAAACACAATAGTATTTGTTATGTGCACCTATGTCCGTTGCGGTGCTTTACAAAAGCTAGGTAGGAAATAACCCGAATGTCCAGTGATGGGTGATCAGATCAAGAAGACTTGGTTCATAGACACAATGTGATACTGTGCAGCTGTAAGAAAAATTCGAAATCCCGGAGGTCTCTGCAACATGGGTGGGACTGGAGCGCATAGAGTAAAGTAATATATGGCAGAGTGCAGGGGAGGATAAATACCTCGTCTGTGGTCTAGAGAGAAAAGAACCAGGGCATAGACTGATCCCAGCGATGATACAGCTTTGGTTTCCAAACTTAGCTTACCGAGCTTGGAGGAAGGGATGGAAAGAATGGAGAGGCAGACCAGCAGTAATGTAAAAATAGTGGTGGAAGGTCTTGGGCATTTGGGGGGGGGGGGTGCAATAGCTTTGTACATCAATACCCTGGACATGAACACCATGGCAAGCATGTCATCTAAACTATCGCTTTCAAAAGCTAAAAATTTTTTAAAGAAATTGATATCCTATAAAAAAAAAGTATTACCCAACCACCTGGTCCTACAACAGGTGAGTAGAGCGCGCGCGCGCGCGCACACACACACACACACACACACACACACACACACACACACACACATACACACACCCCACGACGATCCATCCGGCACTCTGCCGGCAGGGGGCAGCATCGGGGCGCAGTGGACCCGGAGGGAGAGCCGGGAGCAGGAAGGATGCGGAGCAGGGATGCGGGAAAAGACGGAGCAGGAGGTCGCCAATGAGGCCGGGAGAGGCGGTCGGAGACGGAAAGGGGGTGGAGCGAGATCGATACGGGCTGGCAGAGCCGGAGTGGACGGGCCGGCTCCAGGGATCCCGCTGGGGGCAAACGCGGCACCGAGGGGCTGGAAGGGTCTTGGGCCACTTGGGGTCCCTCCCCCTCGTCTGTCGCTCAGGGCGCCCCGGATCCCCTCCCGCCTCGGGCTCCGCCCAGCCCCGGGCTCGGCTCCCGGCCCTGCGCCGCCCCGCGCCCCCCGGGACCGGCTGCGCCGCGGCGATAGATGGGGGGGGCCCAGCTGGTGCCTTATCAGCCTCCTCCAGGAGCGGCCCGAGCCGCTGCGCGGCTGCCAGCCTGAGATTAGGCCCGCGAGGGCCATTAAGCGCCCCCTGCCCCGGCCCAGCCTCCTCTCCCCCCTCTCCCGGCCGGGCTGGCAGGTGGAGCCCGCGATAAGGCTGGGGGCTCAGGCACTCTGGGGCCCGGGGCTCCATGCCCCCTGCCCCGGCGAGGGCTGGAACTCCGGGCGCGGGGTACGAGGGTCGGGGCCCTCCCAGCACCTGGAGGGGCCCCCGGAATTCCCAGCATCTTGCCAGAGCGGAGAGGGGCGGGAGGTCGCTAGAGGGGAGCAGGAAAAGGACTCCGAGCTAGGGCGAGCTCCCAGGTGAGGCGTGTGTGCCAGGGAGCAGCAGCGCCTGAGCGGCACCCTTAGGAGCCCCTCGCTCCTTCTGGGCCAGGGCGAGTCACCTGCGGAACTCTGACCTAATCAGCGAAGGCTTCCTAGAGGCAGCAGAGACTGGGCAGGGCCAAAGAAGACGACTCATCTTTCACCTGGCACAGGCTTCCGCCCACTTAAGGGGAAGTCACAGAACAGCAGTCACCCGTCCTGAGCTGGAGCCCAGAGTGGGCGGCTACTGCCCCCAGGTCACACAGCAGGGGAGGAATCGGCTGTGGGCCAAGCCCTTGTCACTACCTGCTTGGGCTCTTTCCTCGGTGATATGAGGCGGTCATTTGGACTGGATGGCACCCCGCAGTGGGGAGCTGCTGGGTCTGGAGGTGCTCCTGGACTGTCTCCCCAGACAGACTTCCCAGGAGAAAGTGTCCCCAGATGAGTGGGCTTCAAAGTCTGCACCCGCTCCCCCTCCTGCTTCCTTCCCTCTGGGACCCAGTTCTCTGACCCCCACGGCCTAGACTAAGTGAGTAGCATGAAGTAGGACAGGGGAGGCTGAGCTCAGAGAGTGCAGTGACCCTCCTGCATCACAGCAGCTCACCCAGGAACCCTGACTCAAGTCTGGGCTCCCTGAGCGCCAGCACCCAGAGCCCCCCTGATCTACAGAGCGGCTGGGCTGGGCACTGGACCTACCCAACCATGGGGGTCGGGGGCGCTTCCTGCGGCTTCTGTGGCAGTGGTGGATGAGCCCCCCCCCAACCACCAGCACCCTGTGACCAGGACCCCGACCCTGGAAATCAGGGCAAGGGTGGGAACACTCTCTGCCTGGAATGTGGGGAGAGTGACTGAGCTCCCCGGCCCTGCGGGAGGCCCTGGAAGGGCTTCTTCGGGGATCCTCGGGCCCTGGCTCTGGACTCATGGAGGCTCAGGAAGAAAGCTTGGGCTCACGGGACTATGAGGGCTGTTGCCTCAGCCCCAGAAGTACAAAACGTTTTTATTTCACAGAAATAAGGGCCTTTCCACAGGCAGGGGAGGGGGGTGGTGTTGGAACTCTTTGGAAGGATCTTCTGAGTTGGGGGGACCCCCAGGGCCACAGCAGACCCCTCAGGAGTTCCCACTGTGAATTCCAGCACGTAGAGAAGGGCCTGGAGCTGGACTTACATGGGAGTGCTCCGGACCTTGCCCTCATTCTCCAGAATATTCTCGTAGGCGTTCACATGCTCACTGGACCTGAAAGAGCAGGACAGGGTTAACGTGGCCCTGCACGGGACAGCCCGGCTCCCCGAGCCAGTGCGCACCCCTCGCCAGTGCGCACCCCTCGCGGAGCCTGTCCCCCACCAGCTCCCAAACTCAGCTCTTTGCTGAGCCCTCTGTCTGCACCACCCGCCAGTGAGGTCCAGTGCACCCTTGAGCCCCCCAAGTCCCATCCCCCTCCCCACACTGGGGCTTTCTGTGCCCAAGAGCCCAGCAGTCCTCTCAGAGGCCCCATCTTCATCCCACCCTCTCTCACCGTGCCCCTTTTGCCCGGCCTGGCCCCAGGAAGCCCTGGAGCACCTCACCTGAAGCCGGCAGCCATGGAGGAGTACCTGCCAGCCGTCCCTGCCAGCACCCCGTCCGCCTTGTCTCCGATGGTCATCACCATGGTCACTGGATCCCTGGGGACAGGCCTCATCAGCAGGACCCGCGGGCCCGGCACCCTCACACCCCATCCCTGACCCACGTGGGGCTAGGGGCTGAGGCTGGCAGACTCCTCTGAGCCCCTGCCTCTGGCCCCTCCTTCCCTCTGCGTCAGTCCCCAGCCTGGGGTTCTGACCCCCGTCCCCACGGGGCGTGCAGGACAGACCAGTGGCCATGGTGGCCACGGAACCCGCGGAAGCAGAGCCTGTGAAATCGGGGGATGTTTCCATGGAAAGGGTCTTGCGTGTGTGTGGTGTATGTGAGTGTGTGTGTTCACATTCTTTCTGCCGGGTTCCTGGATCCCTTCAGTGGATCTCAGGACCCTTCACAGGCCTCCCACAAACCCCTCAGCTCAGGAGGACCCAAGTGAAAGCAGCTCCTGCTCTAGGCTGTCCCTCCTTCTGCTCGCCAGACTCCTCCACAGCCTTGAGCCTCTCCCTCCCTGCTGACCCCAAGCCTCCTCCTTCTGCACAACCTGCTAGAGTCTCTGCGAGGCGGCCCGAGCGGACTTCCCCACCCCAGTCACCTACTCAGTTCCAGCCCACCGAGGCTCCCCTGTCTACTCCCCCTGTATCCTGTGTCCCCTGAGCACTGCCAGGCCACAGGCCCCAGAGGAGAGGAGCAGCAAGATGGTGGGGGGTGGGGGAACAGCCTCAAATGCCCCCCACACCTGCCCTCCAGCTCTCCCTTTCTCAGGCAACGCCAGTTCCTGCTGCTGTGGCTGCCATTGCCCATCTGGGGGTCCTCGCAGGAGTATCTGTGCCCCCAGACCCCTTGCAGCTAAACTGGCCCTTCCCTTCCGAGACCCTGCAAGTGCCTCAGGCCCCAGTGGCTCCCAGACAGCTCCCCTGAGAAAGCAGGAGAAAACAAGACCCAGAATTCACAGCTGGGAGCACCTCCTCCCCTGACAGCCGCCAACGTGGGGCCCGCCCAGCCGACACCCCACACTCACGGCTCTTCCTGGCACCAGAAGCGATTGACAGCGAAAGCGATGGCCACGAGCACCAGGAACACGGCCACGGCAATGAGTCCCTGCATCCACGGCTGCAGGCTCCCCAGGCCTGTGGAGGAGACGGGCTGCAGCAGGCCGGACCATAGCAGGGCACATGGGGCAGTGGGGCAGGGCAGCAGGGGCCCCTGCCCCAAGGGCTGGGCCTGTGTCTCAAGCCATCAGCCAGGTGCTGGAGAAGTAGCACGGTGGGGAGGATGACTGCCTTGTGTGTGCCAGACCCGGGTTCAATTCCCAGCATCCCAGATGGTGCCGCAAGCCCCGCCGGAAGTGATGCCTGAGCACAGAGCCAGGAGTGAGCACTGAGCACCAGCAGGTGTGGCCCCAAGTCAGCAACAGCAAAACCTGCCATTAATCAACCAGCTGCCAGGACCCAGGAGACATGGGGGACCTTTGTGAGGAAGGGCTGTGGTTCGGGGAGACCTACTCCAGTCAGGGTCTGCGCCCCACTCCCCACACAGGCCCGGGGACCGAAGGGCATCCCCCTGCACAGCCCACCCACCTCCACCTGCCAATGTGTGAGGTGCCCTCCTCCAGTCTCCTCATGGGGGTGGCATGGGGCACCCTGTGCTGATGGCACCCACAGGCATCTGGACGATCCTGTTCTGTAGCCGAGATTTCTCTGGTGCTGGGAGGGTGTGAGGGCAGGTGTGGCTGCATGCAGGTTGTCAGGGGTGGGAAGAAAGGGGAGCAGAGTCTGCTCTGGATCTCCTCTGGGTTCTAGGGGACAGGAGTTCCCTACCTCTACTCCCCAAGGCTCCTGGACACCTCTGCCTTTGCTCAGTACAGCCCCAGAGGGCTCCCCACCACCCCCACCACCACCCCTGCTGTCTCTGGGAGCCCGCAGGGGACAGAGACCAGCAGGCAGCATCCCAGAGGCTTCTGGAACTCCTGCCTCCAGGTCCCTTCCCCAGTGCCATGCTGTTTTCGGGGGCTGGGGCGGTGTGTCTAGGCAGCAGAGCTCCCTGAGCACCACACAGGGGCCAACCCGAGCACTTCTGGATCGGGCTCCAAAGAGAAACCGCTCTTGCCTCCTTCCACGATGGTCCCTCATGCCTGTCAGCCCGGCAGGTGCTGGAGTAGACGCTGGGGATCCAGGGCCTCTCAGTCCTGGTCAAGCCACCCCCTGGCTTATGAGCCTGGACACCACAAGGTCCAGAGAGACTACCCCAGGCCCTGCCATAGCCCCCATAGGTGTGGCCCAGAGGTTTCTCCAGAAAAACGATCAACAGTCCAGGCCCTTTGTGTCCTCTATGTGTGCTCAAGGATTGAAAGTTCGGACTCAAGACCTAAGGGTGCCCCGGAGTCTTCCTCCTGACTCCAGGGCTCTGGGCTGTGCGCAGCAGAGAGGGATCAAGGCCTGGGCCCTGCTTGAGCTGCTGTGAAGCAACCAGCCTCCACCCTGCAGGATCCCAGGATGGCTTCGGGGCCCTCTGCACACGAGCTCAGAGCGCTGCCTGCAGGTGTCCAGTCTTCTGGAAACATCTTTACCAGCACCTCTGCACCAAAACCCCACCCGTAGAAAGCCCAGACAGTGGCTACAGGGTTAGCCCCTGCAGGGGGGAGGGAGCGAGACCCTGTGGGTGCACTTCTCTGGGGCAAAACCTTTCCACACTCTGGGGACTGCTGTGGGAGGTGACTGGGCAGGTTCACTGTCTCGGAGATGGGTAGTGACTCACTCAAGGTCACACAGCAAAAGAGAGGCAGGGCCAGAGAAAAGAGCTGAGAGTGCCACAGTGGGGCCACCCTGGAGCCCAGGAACGGAATACTGAGGACTTAGGACTCAAAATGTGATAGCATCAGCCTGGAATGAGCCGAACGAGCCTCCCAGCAGCTGCCTGTCAGCACTGGAGCCCCTGTTCTGTTCTGGGGACCCCTCATCTCCATTCTATGACCCCTCAACCCTCCCCCCAGCCCCCAAGCCCCACCATCTCCCAGATGCCCACTTCACACTCGTAGAAGCCAGTTTGACAGAATGCTGGCTCAGAATTCTACCTCTGGAGCTTCCCTGGCCAGCCCAGCCGGGGGATTCCCCCCTTCTGACTAGTTTTACAGGATCAGGGTGGTAAGAGGGAGCAGAAAACCATCCTGGAGCCCCTAGGATTTCGGCACCCTGCCCAGCCAGATCCCCCCTTCCTGCCCCTTGAGCTCCCCGCTGAGCTACCTTGCTGACAGCTGGCAGGGGCCACCGTGGCGAGCAGGCCCAGCAGGACCAGGCTGAGCGTCCCCATGGCAATAAGCAGCTCCTGGTCTGCTCCTGGCAGCTGGGATCCGAGCACCTGTGTGGGGCGATCAGCTGACTCTCAGGGTGGGAGAGTCTGCCGGGAAGGTGAGGGAGGAAGGAGGAGGACAGCCTGTGGGAAGTGCCCGCCCTCCCTCCTGAGGTAATGAGTGCCAGGCCTGGCCACCCTGGCCGCTGCCCAGCCCACAGGAGCTGGCACTGAGGTTGCCAGGCAGAGACTTTCTAAGGAAATGTCTAAGGCCGAGGGAACGTGGGGGAGCCCAACACCCCATTTCCAGCTAGGCCTTCCCGCAGTGCAGTTTCAGGGTCTGCTCCTTCTTCCAGGCAGAGGGGCAGGGTTCTGGGGAAGGAGTGGCATCCTGTGACACACTTGCTTCAGGCCCCCAGCGCCCCAGAGGCGGGGCCTGCAGGAAGCCTGACTCTGGATGAGGGATTTGCTGGGCTGGGAAAGCCCAGAAGTTAGGGAAAGGCCAGGCCAGCACCCTCAGCCCCACACACAGAGTCTGGCCTAAGACCTGTGCCCCACTCCTGGTCCCTCCAGCCCAGCCCTGCTCTAACTCCGCCTCTGAGTGGGTCCCAGCAGGGAAGGGCCCTGGGCTCTCCATACTTCCTCTTGGCCTCACCCAGAGCCAGTGGCACTCCCATGACGGAAGAGCCCATGCTGGAAGAGCCGGCTGGTCTTGGGCTCTGTGCTCTCTCCGTTCTGTCCCTCTTTTTCTGTCACCAGGAGGAAAGCAGAGGGACCCAGCCCTGATGATGGAGTCAAGGGGGGGAAAAAAGGTGGTTCCAGACCCAGGGGCTAGGTGGGGGGCCTGTCCTGACATCCCCAGGAGACAGGAAGCAGAGGTGCACGGACACCTGGCAAGAAAAAGTCCACTAAAAGGCAGCTCAGATAGAGAAGGGAACACCAAGTAAAGTATGTTGGGAGGACCCATTCGGGTTGAAAGATGAGTGCCGAAAGCAGACTATAGACCGAACACGATGGCCGCTCAATACCTCTATTGCAAACTACAACACCCAAAAGGAGATAGAACAAAAGGGAATGCCCTGCCTCAGAGGTGGGGGGGGGATGAGGTGGGAGTGATGGGAAAGATATTGAGAACACTGGTGGAGAAAAATGGGCACTGGTGGGCGGATGGGTAAACGATTATTGTATGACTGAAATATAAAAGTTCATAAGTTTGTAACTGTACCTCATGGTGATGATTCACTAATAAAAATGTTAAAAAATAAAAAAAGGGAACAAAGAAAGAAAGAAAGAGAAAGAAAGAAAGAAAGAAAGAAAGAAAGAAAGAAAGAAAGGAAAGAAAGCCCACAGACACCGTGGCTGCAGGAGCCCTGGGAGTCAGGGCCTGAGCTGGAAGCCCTCCCTGCCCGGGACCCTCCAAACTGTTGCTGCCAGCCCTCCAGGCAGGGCGGCAGTCAAGGTGCTCCCAGACATGCTCCGTGTCACTGTCGTGCTTGTGAGGACGGGGCCCTCTGCCGTCCAAAGAAGCGAGAGGTGTCTAAAGGTGTCCAAGATGGGCACTGGTGGAGGGATGGGTACTTGATCATTGTATAACTGAAACCCAAGCACAAAAACTTGTTAGTCTACAACTGTACCTCATGGCATTTCACTAATAAAAATTAAAAATAAATAAATTAATAAATTTTAAAAAATAAAGGTGACCGAGAACAACGTGGCTCAGAACAAAGTGATGCCTCTCTTGCAAACCACAACACCCAAAAGGAGAGAGAGAGAACAAAAGGGAATGCCCTGCCACAGAGGCAGGGTGAGATGGGGGGGGGATGGAGGGTGGGAGGGATACTGGGACCTGTGATGGTGGAAAATGGGCACTGGTGGAGGGATGAGTACTTGATCATTGTATAACTGAAACCCAAGCACAAAAATTTGTAAGTCTGTAACTGTACCTCATGGTGTTTCACTAATAAAAGAAAAAGAACAAAGTGATGTCCCCATGTGTGTCCTGTGCTCCCTCCCTATCCAACTTGGTGTCCTTGGAATCTTCTGGCACATTGGCTGGAGCAGGCACCAGCCTGTTAATGAACAGCCAGGGCTTTCGTGAGTGGAACGCAAGGAATGGGGCCGAATGCAACAAACATCCTCTTAGATCTGCAACTGAAGTTTAAGTAGGGTGTCACAAGGTGAGATTTGCATTTCAGAAAACCAGGACTCTGGCCCCAGAGTGATAGTAATGGGTAGGATGTTGGCCTTGCACACGGCTGACCCAGGTTCGATCCCCAGCAACCCTTATGATCCCCCGAGCACCACCAGGAGTAATTCCTGAGTGCAGAGCCAAGAGTGAACCCTGAGCATCACTGGGTGTGACCCAAAAAACAAAAACAAAGAAAAAGAAATGAAAACCCCTGGGGAGCCAGAGCAGGAAACGAACGGGGAGTGCAGAAGCAGAAGAACAAAAGCAAAAATGAGAAAATGGGATCAACAAGAGGAAAGGCTGATGCACAGCTCAAGAATCTGCATCGAGACAAAATGCAGCCCAGAACACAGAGGAAGGTTTGTCCATCCAGAAAGGAATGGGTCCCCCTATAAAGTCACGACCGAGACAAAGGTCACACAGCACATCGGTCTCACAACCACCGATTAAAACACGGGCAGAGCAAGAAGGCACTTCTTCAAGGAAAACATACTAACAGCCACCAGGACCCCGCAAGCAGAGCCCTCACTGGGCAATCAGGATCAAGTCCCCTGACAGCCTCAGAAGAGTCAGAAGCAAAGGCAAGGGACAGCCAGGGAGAGGCAGGGCTGGGACAGAAGGGAGACCTGTGTGGTGCTGAAAGAACGTAAAGAAACCAGGCGTGTGATCCCAGCAACCAACCCAGTGTGTGTGCTTTTCAGTCAGCCGAACAATAAGAATGAATTTTTTCTAAGATTGGGGCTCGATTGGCTGAGCACATGCTTGGCACATAGGACACCTAAGACCCATCCCCAATACCTCATGATTCCCTGAGCACAGAGCCACGACTATCCACGAAGCATTGCTGGCTGTGACATGAAAACAAAGTAAAATAAAACAAAAAAGATGTAAAGTCTCTATCTACGCACATATGTTTATTACCTTGTTATTTTCTATAACCAAGAAACTGAAACAACCTAAGCAACCACAGACTAAGGGATAAGCAATAATCGGTTGTGAGTATGCGTATATAATGGAATACTAGTCAGCTGCTGAAAAAAGATGAAATGTTCCCATTTTCAATAAGTCAGACAGACAGACAGACAGACTGATAGCTGGTCTTGAAGGTATCATCCAGTGAACCAAATCACTCTAGGTGACTTCCCCTCAGGAGATAGAAAACAATTTCACTCATCCATGATATCTACAGAAACAAATCAAATGAGCAAATAAAACAAAAACAAACTCTTAGACACAGAAAACAAACTGGTGCTTACCAATATGTCGGAGGGGAGGAGGTGGATGAAATGGGCCAAGGGGCCAATTTTATTTTGGCAGATAGAAATTAGACCTCGGCAGTGATTGTGGTATAATGCACATATATAATATATATATATATTGATTTATCATGCTGTACACCTGGAGCTGCAACCATCAACCAATGTTCCTCACTGAAACATTATCTGCAAGAAAATTCTAAAAAAATGGAATGACTAGAGGAATAACTCAGTGACAAAATGCCTACCTTACAAGCCTGAGACTGTGAGTTTGATTCCTGATACTGTCCACATGAGCCAAGTATGGATCACGGGTAATTCTGCTGTCTGGGACTCCAGCACCTCAACAGAGTGTCCAATTCCCCTGGAACACCACAGCTGGCTGGCTGTGTGCCAAGCCCAGAAATCACAGCAGCTAAAAGATATGTCAGTACCACAGCCAACAGCGTGAAGTCCAATGAGAACATATGTGAGTATCACAACTAAAGTACAATGTCCACTGAGCACCACAGCCCAGTGTGTGAGCAGTGCAGCTAAGCATGTGTGAAGTCCCCATCATTGTGACCGCATCATTTCCCAACAACAAAGGGAGAGAAACAGAAAAGACTGGAGAGAGTACACAGAGATCGTGCGGAGGATAAGATGCTTGCCTCCCTGATGGCCAAGCCAGTTTGGTCCTCAGCACCACAAACAAAGATGGTAGAACGGGAGAGGTAGGGGTGGGGGTCTAAGGCTCGACACTCCCAGTGCCATGGCTCCCTGCAGGTGTGTAGCTATAGTGGATCTAAGCCCTGGTAAGAAGGTGGCAGGAAGCCTAGAAAGCAGTGACAAGCTGGGAGTAGGTGAGGACAGGAAGGAGCTAAGAGTGAGGCCCAATTTCTGCCTTAGCAGCAAGTGGGTGACGTCCACAGGAGTGTGAGGGGAGATAAACGATGCACCACAGACTTACAGGCAATAAGTAAGTTGCCAGTGGTGCCCCCCCCCCCCAGAGAAACTCCCAAAAGGCAGCAGGACGCTTGTGTCTGGACTCAGGTGGCTAGTTCTGGGAGCTGACCATGATGCAAAGCACGGCATAGCAGCTAAGATGGGGCAGCACACAGACTCCTGTGTGCATTTGTATGCATGTGCCCATGTGTATGTGTATGTGTGTATGTACACGCATGTGTGTACACCCATGTCTGTGTATTTGCGTGCATTGTGTGTGCTCAGGTGTGTATATGTAAGTGTGCACGTGTGTGCTTATGTGTATGTGCTCATGTTTGTATATGTATGTATATGTGTGTTTGCACCCATGTGTATGTCTGCGTGCACTTGTGTGTGCTCGGGTGTGTGTTTGTAAGTGTGCACGTGTGTGTACCCATGTGTGTGTACCCGTGTATGTGTGTGCCCAAGTGTGCACATGCAAGTGTGTGTGTGCCCACGTGTGCCCATGTGTGAGTGCACACACAGAGGATAGATAGCAGGGAAAATGAAGGATGCTTCAAGGGACCAGGACACAACTCTGAGACAGGGTCTTTCCGAGGAAGGGAGACGAATGGAGCAAAGAAAGAAACCCCAGAGCCCAGGGGTCCTGGGTCCCACAAACCCAGAGCTGAGCAGGGAAGTCCC